GTAAAGCACTGCTCAACAAATGCAAAACAACTGAAATCATAACAAACAGCCTCTCAGACCATAGTGCAATCAAGTTAGAACTCAGAATTCAGAAACCGACCCAGAACCGCACAGCTTCATGGAAACTGAACAACTGGCTCTTGATTGTTGACTGGGTAAACAACGAAATGAAGGCAGAAATAAAGAATTTCTTCGAAACCAATGAGAACGAAGACACAACGTGCCAGAACCTCTGGGACACATTTAAAGCAGTCTCTAGAGGAAAGTATATAGCAATAAGTGCCCATATGAGGAGAATGGAGAGATCCAAAATTGACACCCTATCGTCAAAATTGAAAGAGCTAGAGGAGCAAGATCAAAAAAACTCAAAACCCAGCAGAAGACAAGAAATAACTAAGATCAGAGCTGAGCTGAAGGAGATTGAGACACGAAAAACCCTTCAAAAAATCAATAAATCCAAGAGCTGGTTCTTTGAAAAGATCAACAAAATAGACAGACCACTAGCCAGATTGATTAAAACTAAAAGAGAGAACAACCAAATAGATTCAATAAAAAATGATAAAGGGGAAATCACCACAGATTCCACAGAAATTCAAACCATCATCAGAGAATATTACAAACAACTCCATGCGCATAAACTAGTAAACCTGGAAGAAATGGATAAATTCCTGGACTCCTGTGTCCTCCCAAGCCTAAACCAGGAGGAAGCTGAAACTATGAATAGACCAATAACAAGGTCTGAAGTTACGGCAGCAATTAAGAGCCTACCACACAAAAAAAGCCCAGGTCCAGACGGGTTCACAGCCGAATTCTACCAGACACACAAGGAGGAGCTGGTACCATTCCTTCTAAAACTATTTCAAACAATCCAAAAAGAGGGAAGCCTTCCCAAATCATTTTATGAGACCAACATCATCCTGATACCAAAACCCGGCAGAGACCCAACGAGAAAAGAAAACTTCAGGCCAATATCCATGATGAACATAGATGCAAAAATCTTCAATAAAATATCGGCAAGCCGATTGCAACAGCAAATCAAAAAACTTATTCATCATGATCAAGTAGGATTCATCCCGGGGATGCAAGGCTGGTTCAACATACGCAAGTCTATAAACGTAATTCACCACATAAACAGAACCAAAAACAAAAACCACATGATTATCTCAATTGATGCAGAGAAGGCATTTGACAAAATTCAACAGCCCTTTATGCTAAACATAAACTCGGTATCGATGGAACGTATCTCAAAGTAATAAAAGCTATTTATGACAAACCAACAGCCAATATCATACTGAATGAGCAAAAACTGGAAGCATTCCCTTTAAAATCTGGCACTAGACAAGGATGCCCTCTCTCACCACTCCTATTCAATATAGTACTGGAAGTTCTAGCCAGAGCAATCAGGCAAGAAAAAGAAATAAAGGGTATTCAAATAGGAAAGGTGGAAGCCAAATTGTCTCTATTTGCAGACGACTTGATAGTATACCTAGAAGACCCCATTGCCTCAGCCCAAAAACTCCTGAAACTGATAAGCAACTTCAGCAAAGTCTCAGGATATAAAATCAATGTGCAAAAATCACAAGCATTCGTCTACACCAATAACAGACTTAAAGAAAGCCAAATCAAGAGCGAACTGCCATTCGCAATTGCTACAAAAAGAATAAAATACCTTGGAATACAACTTACAAGGAACATAAGGGACCTCTTCAAGGAGAACTACAAACCACTGCTCAACGAAATCAGAGAGGACACAAACAGATGGAGAAACATTCCATGTTCATGGTTAGGAAGAATTAACATCGTGAAAATGGCTATACTGCCGAAAGTAATTTACAGAATCAATGCTATCCCCATCAAGCTACCATTGACTTTCTTCACAGAACTGGAAAAAACCACCATGAACTTCATATGGAACCAAAAGAGAGCCCGCATAGCCAAGTCAATTCTAAGCAAAAAGAACACAGCGGGGGACATCACACTACCGGATTTCAAACTATACTACAAGGCTACAGTAATCAAAACAGCATGGTACTGGTACCAAAACAGAGATATAGACCAATGGAACAAAACAGAGGCACCGGAGGCAACACAACATACATACAACTATACAATCTTTGATAAACCCGACAAAAACAAGCAATGGGGAAAGGATTCCATGTTTAACAAATGATGTTGGGAAAACTGGCTAGCCATATGCAGAAAGCAGAAACTGGACCCCTTCCTGACACCTTACACTAAAATTAACTCCAGATGGATTAAAGACTTAAACATAAGACCTGGCACCATAAAAACCCTAGAAGGAAATCTAGGCAAAACCATCCAGGACATAGGAGTAGGCAAGGACTTCATGAACAAAACACCAAAAGCATTGGCAACAAAAGCCAAAATAGACAAATGGGACCTAATGAAACTCCACAGCTTCTGCACGGCCAAAGAAACAGTGACTAGAGTGGATCGGCAACCAACAGAATGGGAAAAAATTTTTGCAGTCTACCCATCTGACAAAGGGCTGATATCCAGAATTTACAAAGAACTCAAACAGATTTACAGGAAAAAAACAAACAAGCCCATTCAAAAGTGGGCAAAGGATATGAACAGATACTTTATGAAAGAAGACATATATGAGGCCAAGAATCATATGAAAAAATGCTCATCGTCACTGGTCATCAGAGAGATGCAAATCAAAACCACATTGAGATACCATCTCATGCCAGTTAGAATGGCGATCATTAAAAAATCTGGAGACAACAGATGCTGGAGAGGATGTGGAGAAAAAGGAACACTTTTACACTGTTGGTGGGAGTGTAAATTAGTTCAACCATTGTGGAAGACAGTGTGGCGATTCCTCAAGGCCTTAGAAATAGAAATTCCATTTGACCCAGCAATCCCATTACTGGGTATATATCCAAAAGACTATAAATCGTTCTACTATAAGGACACACGTACACGAATGTTCATTGCAGCACTGTTTACAATAGCAAAGACCTGGAATCAACCCAAATGCCCATTGATAATAGACTGGATTGGAAAAATGTGGCACATATACACCATGGAATATTATGCAGCAATCAGAAATGATGAGTTTGTGTCGTTTGTAGGGACATGGATGAATCTGGAAAACATCATCCTCAGCAAACTGACACAAGAACAGAAAATGAAACACCGCATATTCTCACTCATAGGTGGGTGATGAAAAATGAGAACACATGGACACAGAAAGGGGAGTAGTAAACAGTGGGGTCTATTGGGGGGAAAAGGGGAGGGCCAGTGGGAGGGGGAGGTGGGGAGAGATAGCCTGGGGAGAAATGCCAAATGTGGGTGAAGGGGAGAAGAAAAGCAAAGCACACTGCCATGTGTGTACCTACGCAACTGTCTTGCATGCTCTGCTCATGTACCCCAAAACCTATAATCCAATAAAAAATTTAAAAAATAAATTTAAAAAAATATTAAAAAAAAAAAAGACTAAAAACAAGACATCATAAATGCTATTGATACAACTTGTAGAAGTATGGACACATGCATATATAAAAAGGAATGTCGCAGTTTTAGGGTGGGTAAGATTATGGAAATCTTCCATAACAATAAATGGTTTTATTATATGTAAATTGTTTTGATAGTATTGTTTAGTACCTTTCCAATCTAAGAGAAAGAGAGGGGAAAAAAAAAAAAGACAGACACAACCCAGCACTAAGAAAAGGCTCAGGAAGACCAGGGCTGAGATGTGAAAGCAGAAATTGACAGCCGTCCTACATACCCAGAAGGAGGAGGCCAGGCAGGGCCCTGGGGAAGGGAAGCCCTCTAGGTATGGAGAGGGTTGTAATTAGTCTGATGCTAATTACAGAAGTCTCACTAGCTTATTAATTTTTTTGACAGACTCTGAATGAAGACTGAATTCCTTCATTAAGCCAACTTGGGTTCAGAGGCACATTTCCTATGTGGCTATCCTCATTCTTCTAAAAAAATCTAGCCTTTTCTTTTTTTTTTTTTTAAGGGTAACAGTAAAGTAAAATTTAGTAACAGAAACACACACCCTAGAGAAATTAAGATTCCTGCCTTAAATGTAGAAATTCAAGCCATTTCAGAAAATCAAAGGGGTTTGAATAAGCAACTGAACTTCAATGTTTTCTACACTGGGAAAAATAAACATGAGCATAAAATATTTAGCTCAGTATTAAAGGCCCCTTGATCAGGTTCCAGCCAATCTTTCTGATATTACCTCATAATTGTCCCTCCAGATACCCAATGCTCCAGCCAAACTAAACCACCAGTGGTCCCCAAAACAGTTTCTTCACTTTCCTACCACCATGACTCTGTTCAAGCTATTTCACACACTTAAAATTTCTCTCTTATAACTGCTTGCTCAAGTCTGACCCATCCTCCAAAGCACAGATCCAAGCCTTGTCATTTTTTTTTTTTCTGAGATGGAGTCTTGCTCTGTTACCCTGGCTGGAGTGCAGTGGCACAATCTTGGCTCACTGCAACCTCTGCCTCCCGAGTTCAAGCAATTCTCCTGCCTCAGCCTCCAGAGTAGCTGGGACTACAGGAGAATGCCACTACACCCAGCCAATTTTTGTATTTTTAGTAGAGACAGGGTTTCACCATGTTGGTCAGGCTGGTCTTGAACTCCTGACCTCATGCAATTCACACAGCTCGGCCTCCCAAAGAGCTGGGATTACAGGTGTGAGCCACTGAGCCCAGCCAGCCTTGTCATTTTCAAAGCCTAGGCCAATCTCTATACCCTGAATTCATTTCTTGCTCATCACGGTAGATCCAGAGTACTTTGAATCTCCAAGGAGCTACACAAAGTCTGCCTTGCAGTACAGTTATCTGAGCAACTGACTTTGACCACATCAAAACCTGGGCTCCGTCGGGCATGGACCCCTCCAAATTCCTACATGGAACCTATCCATAATGTCTGGCACAAAGTAGGCCTTCAGTAAATGCTTCACTGAAAGACAAGAAAAAGGGACACATTACATCTGTGAGAAGTCACTTCCTACCTCGGTAGCTCCAGTTAAGCAATGCAGAGATGAAGGCATGCTGTTCAGTGGTCTTGAACAGGGGAGAAATGAATCTTGCTTTTCCAGTTTCCAGCCTTCATAAGTCTCCAACTTCCTCCCTAGTTGACCATAGTCTGCTCGGCCCCAGGTAAACACCTTCCCAGTTTCTAAAAACAAATATTATTTGAATTAAGACTACATTCCACAGCTGTGCTCCCATGGATAGGCAATTAATTACAAGAGAAAGTGTGACATTTATTTTAGCACCAACTACCAGGAGCCTTCCTATCTTCCTGTAAAGAAGGCACAAGTATTCATTTTTACAGATGTGGAAACTAAGGTTCAGAGAGGTTGAATGACTTGCTTAAGATCAAACAAGCTGTGAGTACCAGAGCTGGATTCAAGCAGAGATTCATTCTAAAGTTTACACTCTTGCATGTTACACAGATATGGATATGATTATGGATATAACTTTAACCATGCTTTATGGCTTCCCCATGTACTCCTTGTGCTTTGCCCAGATGCCTATTCTCAGGTTCTTCTCTTCCCCACCCAACCCAGGGCCCCATTTAGTCATCTTGAAGTTCTCCACTCCACAATCTCTTAGGGCCTAGCTCAATCAATGGCCCCATTCATTTGCTTTCCCCACCTTGTAACATAAGGGGACCTTTCAGAATCTATGCTCTTACCCAAAGGAGCAATTCTAACAATGCTAAGGCAAGTGTTTATGTGTGCTAGAGGGAAGGGAGTGAGAGAAGAAAAAAAATGGCAAAACCATTTGGAGTCAGAAAAGCATTTAGTCCCCCAGATGCACCACATGGGAAGCTAGCCAGTGCTAAAATTGACAAAAGAAAATGAGATTTGCAAAAGGAGAAATGGACTTTCTTCTCCCAGATAAGAGAAAATTCACCAAATTCATTCAGTTCTATGAAGTGCCACATTTGTTATTTCAACAGAATGCAAAATCTGATGAGGCATAGATTATTAACAGATTCTCTGCAATAAATATGCATAACCATGTGCGTTGTATAAATTCTTTATACATGTTTATTTTAACAAAGAAAAACTTTGCTTTAGAGACAAAACACAGAGCAATGCATATTAAATTCTAGACAAATCTACTACTGCATACTTTGTGTTTGGTATCAAAGCTTCATCTGGCCCCACATTCAACATATGGTTTATAGTGTCAGCTAAAAAAAACAACCATAGATTCATGAGGAAATGTCAGAATATTGCAGTGATACAAGGCTATGCAGGGAAATGGTTCTTAGGATCAGCCTGCTAGCAGACACTAAGGTAAGACACCAAGCAGTTTACAGGAATCTGACTTTTGGGCTTGCATTGGTTATTAAGCACTAGTTACTGCATAATCACTCAACACTCTTCCTTCACTTCTGCAGGATTAGACTCTTAAAAACCCTTGTTCCCAGGATCCATAAAGCATCCCAAGCTGGCAAACTGTCCCTCTACCTGAACTGGCTAGGATTTCTAACCAGGTCCAGAAACCAGGCTGACTCAATGTTCAGTCTTCAGTCTCAAGCCTAAACTTAATGCACCCTGAACTTGTCTGTTTCTTTTCAAAATAAACTCTGCATCCAAAGGCTCACCCAGGGCAGAAGAGTCCCTTTTATTTTTCCTTTTCTTCTAAGCAGACATTTATTGACCTCTTCCCAGGTACTCAGTACATTCATTGACACTGTCTCAATCCTTACAATAATGCTGTGGCCTATAGAGAGCTAAGCTTATTCTACAGATGAGGTTAAACAATGAAAGTTAAATGATTTGGTTGAGTTCAAACAACCACCAAGTAGTTGAATCAAGATTTAAACCTGTGTCTTCTGACTCCAAGGCCAATGGTTTCTCCAGTGATTGCACAGCTGCTGTCACAAACTGACAAAAGTCGGTTGATGAAACAGCCATTTTTACAATGTTTGAAGAAGAGGAAAACTCAGATTAAATGGATATGCTCTATGTACCATCCAGCTTTCCTCACTAGAATAATCTCCTTCCCAGGAGGACATGCAGAACTCAGGACTATAAGTGCTGAAATAAAGGCATTAAACACATGGATTATGATTTTATGTCACCTGCAGTAAAAGAAAACAATAAATCCACATATAAAAAATGCTCATTAATACATTGTAGACGAATGTCTGCATCAAGCTGATGCATGCTGTCAAATCCAAGGAGATTCAAGTCACAAATTTAACAAATGAATCTTCTCCTTAAAGGATTATATATTACTATGATAAAAAACAGATATGCTAACATCACCCAAAAAGTATAGGTATGTGTCTCCAGGTAAATGATAAGTGAGAGAAATGACAAAATAGCTCAAAACAAAGTTAGCAAGTGAAATACAATTTATAAGGCACGTCCATGTAAGAACTGGCACAGTATAACTACAGAGCCAAGAAGTATACACTGCAAAAGATATCAATGCACCGCAGAAAACAACAGAGGCCAAATGAGAAGTATAGAGAAAGAACACTTAAGGGGTCTGGAACTAGAATTTTCGTGGCAGGCTGAGGGAACAAGAGGCATTTAAGGTGAACTTCTGGATAAGAAAAGAAAATGGGAGGCTGAGGGAGGACACTGCAGGAACAGTGTGAGGGGATGAGCAATGATATGAAAATCACAAAGTGGCCAGGCACAGTGGCTCACATCTGTAATCCCAGACTTTAGGAGGCCAAGGTGGGCGCATCGCCTGAGGTCAAGTGTTCGAGACCAGCCTGGCCAATGGGGTGAAACCCCCTCTCTACTAAAAATACAAAAATTAGCTGGGCCTGGTCATGCCATGACTGTAGTCCCAGCTACAGGGGAGACTGAGGTGGGAGAATCACTTGAACCTGGGAGGCAGAGGTTGCAGTGAACCAAGATGGTTGGTTCACTGCAACCCCTGGGCGACAGTGGGACCCTGTCTCAGAAAAAAAAAAAAAAAGCAAAAAGCACGAGAGAGAATGAGGGTCACAAGGAAAGGAGACTGGGAGGGGACTCAAGACTGTCAAGATGGGGCCAGCCACAGGGAAGTGCCACGCCTGGGTCTGGATCTCACCCTTCAGGCCAGGGGCCCCCAAACCTTTACTAATAGGCTTACTATTAGTAAAAAAATTTTTTTTGAGATGGAGTCTTGCTGCATCGTCCAGGCTGGAGTGCAGTGGCATGATCTTGGCTCACTGCAACCTCTACTTCCTGGGTTCAAGCAATTCTCCCACGTCAGCCTCCTGAGTAGCTGGAACTACAGTCATGCACCACCGTATCCAGATAATTTAGTAGAGATAAGGTTTCATCTTGTTGGCCATGCTGGACTTGAACCCCTGACCTCCAGTGATCTGCCTGCCTTGGCCTACCAAAGTGCTGGGATTACAGGCGTGAGCCACCGCAACCAACCTCTATTAGTAAAATATTTTTTAACACATCACCAATATATGTACATTAATTTATTTATTAAAGTATGTATATTCACAAATCATAAATAGGTAGTCTCACTCACAAGCATACAGTATAAAAACATGCTAAAAATAGAAAATAGAAAAGAATGAGATAAAAACATATAAAAGAAGTTATAAGAATCTCTTCCAGCTGGATGCAGTGGCTCATGCCTGTAATCCCAACACTTTGGGAGGCCAAGGCGGGCAGATCACCTGAGGTCAGGTGTTCGAGACCAGCCTGGCTAACATGGTGAAACCCCATTTCTACTAAAAATACAAAAATTACCCAGGCATGGTGGCACGCGCCTGTAATCCCAGCTACTTGGGAAGCTGAAAGAGAAGAATCCATTGAACCCAGAAAGTGGAGGTTGCAGTGAGCCAAAATCACACCATTGCACTCCAGCATGGGCAACAAGAACGAAACTGTCTCAAAAAAAAGAAAAAAATCTCTTCCATACCCTAGCAGTCATCTTGCACACTCACCACTGCAAACTAGACCATGGGGAAACTACAGACTTTTGAGCAGGGGTGGGGCCTGATGAAAGGAATGCTTAGGGAATGGTACATCTGGCAAAGGATTGCAGGAGGCTAGAAATCATACTATTTACAGCTAATGCTTCCATAGCACCTACTATGTGTCAAACACTACTCCAAGCATTCTCTGTATAGTGTCATGTTTATTCTTGCAACAATCCTGTGAGATAGGCACTTTTACCATCCCCATGTTACTGACAGGTAACAAGGTACTCCCCCAAAGTCAGAGAGGTAGTAAGTGAAAAGAGAAGAAAAGAAAGAAACAACAATAATACAAGCCTAAGATGCATCAAGGCCTAAACTAGAATTGAAATCATAGAAAAACAAAAAAGAAAGAATTTATGGGGCTTGGCACCCCATTAGATGTTATTTTAAAAGGAAAGGAGAGGAAATAAATACCATTCTGAGATTTCAGGATTTTAAGATGAGTAGGAAGGTGATGAAGGTGTAGAAATGCTACATCAGGGGAATCAGATGCTAATGGGAATCATAAAACGTTATTTCATTACCAAATCCTTTAACTCTCCTGGGGCATTTTGCAAACATGCTGTCAAATAGTCAAATATAAATAACAGAGGAGAGAGTAAGAAGAAAGACTACTAGATGCAAACCACAGAGAGCAGGGGATACTCTGAGGGTAGCGTGGGTGGATGATGAATATTCAAGAGGCCAACTTCCTTTACCATCCATCAAGGGCTGCAGGTGCTGCAGCCATGGCTATAGGCACAATGAGAAATAGCTCCAGGGATGTCTGAGCACTTCAGGGAAGAGAAATTTCTACCCTATTCTAGGGAAGGGAGTCCTACAGGTGACAGAAAGATAGATTAGTGGATCATCCATTTTTTTTTGACAGAATCTGTCCCAAAAGGTAATATGTCACTGAAGATAGCAAAACGGAGTCAGCAAACCAAGGTGAATGCTATAAAAAGAAAATCCATGGGTCAGACAGAGAAAAGGCCAAATGACTTCTTTAGTCCCTCTCAACTCTAATATTCCAGGATGCCACACAGCCATCTAGAATACACTCATGAGAAGGAGGAAGCTCTCTACCTGTAGGTTTGTTATGTTTATGATTCACCTGTTTACAAACAAAAACACCAGTTACTCTCTGGATTATTCATTGTGTGTCCTCAGAAGGTAAGAACCTGACTTCTGTAACTCATTCTTCATTCTGCCATGTGGACAGAGACTTTATAAAA